ATCAGATCAATCTTGGGTTATTGTCTTTTTAAGCAAATAAATGCTTCAGAGCCGAGTGGTTAGTGTAAATAATTACCTTGGTTCCAACCAAGTATGGTCGAAATTTGTCAAAAGCAAATACCACATCAAGCATTTATTTTTCGGTTATGGTGTAATTTACCTGAGCATCATTTAATATCTGGCTAGCATAATGAATAATATGAAAGATTTTCTCTTTATGTTTCCCCAGCACTACTCCTACAGCATAGTCACTAGCATCACATATTAATTCGAAAGGTAAACTCCAGTGAGCTATAACAATTAGAGCATTAACCATCTTTAATTTAATGGTCTCAAAGAACTTAAGGACTTCAGCATCCACCACAATTTCTTATTTTGCTCCAGCAATGAGCACAAGGGTTTAACAATTTGAGAAAAATCCTTGATGAATCTTTGGTAAAATATTGCATCTCCTAAAAAACTCCTTAATGCCTTCACATTAGTGGGAGGAGGCATCTTCTCAATAACTTACACTTTGGTCTTGTCTACTTCATTGCCACATTGAGAAATGTGATGCCCCAGTACTATGCCCTCGGTTACCATGAAGTGGCATTTCTCCTAATTCAAACCAAATTGGTTTCTTCACATCGCTTAAATACAGTGGCTAAATTTAAAAGACATTGATCAAAATCCTGTCCAAAAACAGAAAAGTCATCCATAAGTACCTCCAAATAGTCTTCAATCATGTCGGAGAATATCGCCATCATTGTAACACCCCCAACCCGGATCCGACTCGGATACGAGTCCGAGGTGTCACATTGACTTTTCAAATCATATACTTGTACAAAAGAATGAAAATTCCAACTTTTATTAAATCAAAGTGCATACTTTATACAATTTCAATCAAAGAGTTTACAAAACTTATCAGATCTAATACAATTCAAATCTTTTATTTACATGCCAACGACTTTCCTTATAACAAACTACATACTATTCATATATTTTTCTAATCTGATCTTTGGAAAGGAAAAACTGACCTGACTGGCCTATCATTGCTTTGCTTCTCTTCTTGCTCCTCAGAACCTACGTGTGAAACACTCACACGCTAAGTCGAAGACTTAGTGAGGCATATCAACATATAATGGAAACTTAACTACCTAACAATTTATAAACATTTCATACAATCTTGTCATACAAAACCATATAACATTTCATATAACAAATACATATATATACACATATCTCATCATTATCATTCTCAACCTTCTTATAGTTATCAATATTATTCTTATGAATTCCTCTTATCATTTAATATTGTACTTACACTTACCCACATCATATCATATGTTTCACAGAGAAAACACAAAACAACACATACACTTTATTTATGTTATATCTTTTAATTACCCATGAAACACTTGTGAGAACTAAATATATGTGAGTACATAGAGGTTGTGCACATATGTTGTCACCACAGCTCGTATAAGGTCCCACTAGGGGCATATAAAGTTATTCCGAATGACCACGTAGAAATGTCCTGAATGACCACATATATCACATATATGTCCCGAATGACCAGTTATATGTCCCAAATGACCACATAGAACCCTCGACTCTTAGCATGCCAACTATACCAATAGCTCTCATATCACATATACATGGGCATTATCATTTATCACAATTCTTATAACTCGTATCACAAAGGCATATGATCTCATAGCTTCTTATCACATAGCTCATGGAACATTTTCATATAGTCTCATAGTTTATATCGCTTTCTCTTGTTATCACATATTCACATAGTCAATCAAATCATCGTATATACATAAACTCATAGAGTTCATAACATTTCTCTTGTAATCACTTATACCATATTATATAGTTTATACTTTGTTCTCTTATGTTCACATATATTATATAATTCTTTATCGCATAGATTATATCATATGTTCATATAATTTCTTATGTCCATATCATATAACTTATATCATATTCTCATGTAATCATATAGATCATTTATACTAGATCATATAGTTTACCACCCTAAAATAGATTCACACAGATCATATAACATACACAATAACATGTAACACATATATCTACACAGATCATATAATATACTTATCTCTTTCTTGATCGATCCTATCTCGTTTACTCATCCGGTACTTGCTTCCTTTAGATATCTACATAATTCATATAGTCTATATGAATATCAGAATTCAAATCACTTATAATCAATCCATATAACTTAGGGCTAAAAGAACCACTTAGTTTAGCATTTCAAGCTTAATAGTATTGATACTCTTACTATAGTACCGATACTACCCTCTTATGGTATCGATACCCCCTAGGTACCGATACCACTTTGACATTCTTCTTTTATAACTCAATAATGGTATCGATACTATGCACTTGGAATTGATACCCCTTTAACATGTACCGATACCACCATTTAGGTATCGATAATTCTTAAAGAGTTCATCCAATTTTTTCTTATGGTATCGATATTGTACCTTTAGTATCGATACCCCAAGCTCATATTCTACCCATTTGCTTTGGAAGTATCGATACTGGATGAACAGTACAGATACCCCCTACCCAGAACTTATTCATTTTACCCCCGAAAATTGACCATACTCAGCTAAATTCCTTATTTTACTCTTCTTTCATGCCTTTAAACTTAACCACACTTATTCAAATCAATTTATCTCACTTTAACTCATCTTAATATCCTATATCTAACGATTACACTTGAATTCAATAATCATGCCAATTAATCAACATGTTCCAAATTCAGTTCTAACAATTTGAATTTCTTATTTCAGCACCTAACAAGTCAAATTTCAGTTCAAAACTTATTTACTAACTTTTTCTCAATAATTCCCTTAAACACTTTTTACCTTCAATCTTACATAACTTATTCATCTTTGAGTTTTAAGCCACCTTAAGCTTCCTTTAAGCTTTTGTATCACCCAAAGACCAAAAATCAACTTAAAAATCAAGAAATAACCAGCTTACCAATAACTCACCTTTAAAATGGAGCTCACGGGAAGAGAATAAGATAACCAGATTCCAGACTTCTCTTTTCCTTTATCCCATTTCCAGGTTTTTAATATCCTTTATAAAGAGAAGATAAAAATCCTTCCTTGGAAAAGACCAATTTACCCTTACTTAATTCAATATTTACTAAACATTCCTTCACAAAATATTCCCAATTAAGTCCTTAAACTTTTCATTTTTTCAAAATTGAGCATACAGTTTTCAAAACATACATTTTAGTCACTAACCCGGTTTTTTGGGATGTTACAAATCTCCCCCTTTAAGAAAATTTGTCCTCGAATTTTCAATGCACCAATAGATGAAGATACTATTTACACATATCATATTCATATTCTCATGTTGTCTCCACAATTTAATCTTTCATGTTATCGATAATAAACTTGGCTTTCATTACTTCAATTCTTCAACTACCTTTATTCTTTATACATTCATATAATGCCACTTATCATATCGACGGTAACATCAATTCTTATCACTCAAGATCATAAATCAATCAATTTCCTTCATCAATCTCTAATTACCTTACCATAATAACCAAACCTTTATTCCATTATCATTTCAAAATAACACGTCGGTCCTTGTCAACTTGCTCAAAGAGAAATATAATCATTCGATTATATCTTAAACTTCTATAAATCATTCCTTATCTCTCTTTGACTATATCTATTTGACCAATAAACACAACCTTAAACCTTTATCATATATGATTAAGACATACACTTTACAAACTCAATAATCTTTTATATAACTTTACGTACTTTTCTTACTTCTATATCAAACTTATAATCTACACTTCCATGTAACCCTTGTCATACTTGATCCTTTAAACTTCATCCTTTTCATTTCTTTATCTATTTATTTTTCCAAAAATCAAGATCTCCTTGTAACATAGATCATATCTTTTCTTTCATGCTCCCATACTATTTCTCATATCACTTATACTTATCTCTATTTACCAATCTTTATCACATCTTCATAACTTTGATAATCCACGTGAATTGCACAAAATCTTATTCTTATAAAATCCTTATTCAATTTACAATACACATATTCTACTACAATATTTAGCTTCCTTTGGATATACAAATCCTTATCTTTTTAACTACATCATATCTTCATGGTCTAGATACACAACTATACATACATTCACGCCATACTTGATTAGCTCATCCTGATATTTTCTTCAAATCGTTTAACTCTATATACATACCATCACATAACCTTGTTAGTCAGCACCAACTCTTTTAATCTAGTGCACAAGTCCTCCTCAAACCAATCATATACACCATTTTCAGTCGGAATAACTCATTTGACTTCGGTTTAAGCCTAGAATCGGTCAAACCTTAGCTCTGATACCATTAAATGTAACACCCCCAACCGGGATCCAACCCGGATACAAGTTTGAGGTGTCATATTACTTTTCAAATCATATACTTGTAAAAAAGAATGAAAATTCTAACTTTTATTAAATCAAAGTGCATACTTTATACAATTTCAATCAAAGAGTTTACAAAACTCACTATAAGAAAATATACCTTTAATGACACACGAACGATCACACACGCTAATTTATGACTTGCAAAACATGTGTGTCATAAAAAATGTCATGTTTCTTAAAATCTTAATGATTTATGACTTACAATAATGTGTGTCATATTTAATAGTCATAATCTAAAAAAATTAGCAAATACACGGAATACACTTTTCATTGTGTGTCATCTCTAAAGTTCGTCTTTTAATTTTCCCCCCATAATTTTCATCTTCACTTCTTTTCGGTCTCTTTTTCCAGTCTGTTTCCCTCTCTCTACGTACCCTTTCAAACTTTTCAAATACCAGCAAAAAATGCCCCCTCCCTTCCGCATTAGCATTCTCTTGTAGCCCTTTCTCTTCTCTTCTCTTCTCTTCTCATTTTTCTTCAAAATTAGTTTCCTTTGTTTCATTTCTGGGGGTTCTGTTCAACAATGGCAAAGGCTAATATCGAGAAGGTTAAGCATCTAAGAGCTTAGGTTCAAAACTATGATTGGGGAAGATGTGGGACGGAGGCATAGGTGGTGTGGCTTTTGGCTTTGAATTTCGGGTCTGAGATTGAGCCTGATAGGCCATATGCTGAGTTTTGGATGGGAACCCATGACTCAGAGCCAAGTTTTATGGCTGATGATAATGGAGAAGGTGGGAATTTGGGTTTAAGAGATTGGATTTTGAAGAATCCGAATATGCTTGGTCACAAGGTTTTAAAAAAATGGGGGCTTGATCTTTCTTTTCTGTTCAAGGTTTGTTCTTTTCTTTTATACGTATTTCTCTACTTTTTTTGGGAATTTCTTTTTTTTCCTCTCATTTCCTTTGATTACTGGGAAATTTAATTTTGATTTTTGTGTGCATGTGTTTGGAATTGGGTTAATGAGTTTTCTTTTTCATTTTAATGGTAATGGCTAGAACCATATCAATCATTATTTTATGTATTATCTTACGGCCACCATAACTCTTTGCTTCTACATTCATTGCACTTACCGATAAAACAAGTAGGATGATAAGAGAAGCATGGATGATGGTTGAATCAGCCATTTTCTATGCTGAAACTACTGATATAATTAGAATAGGTTGCATTTGAAAGCAACATAACCTCATTCTCATATATAGCTTTGAATCCATCGAAAACGTTCAAGATTTCATAGCTTAGGAAATATTGGTATGGCGTATGCAGTTGCGGACTGATTATGTGTTTCATATGCTTTAATATAGGTACTTTCATTGGCAAAACCCCTTTCAAGACAGGAACATTCGAATAAAGAATTGGCCAAAGAATTGCATAAGTTGAAACGAAATCTCTATAAGAATGCTAATCATAAACCTGAGATGGCTTTGGCCATAACAGAATTCAAGGCCTTTTGTGGGTTCATTACATTTGAGGTAATACATGAATCATGCTCGGTTTTTTGTGGTGGAACTTCCCTTTCCTGGTTGTCTTCTTCGAGTGAATTACTCTTGCCTTTATGTTTGCTAAAATTCTTGGTAGTCACATTTTTCAACTATATTTGTCATCTATGTTGTCAAGTTATGATTATGGAAATGATATGCATGATGAAACTTTGAGTCCAAATCACATCCAGAATCGAGATATAAGGTAATCTATCTTGACTTTCTGTGAATCCACAGTTACCTTTTCTGGTTGGTGTTGTTTTTACCTAAACCGCCTAGGCATAAATATTATACTTGCTATCTTTAGGTGAAATTTAATGTCACCGTGCCAGAACGTTCTCATGTCTATTGATATTAGAGGATTATTAATATTTTTAAACTTATTTTCTGTATATATTATGATGTTCCAAGATAGGTACCATCACATTATAGAAGTTTGATACCCAATCTAGCAATTTCATAGAGTTTCTGCATGCTGAGGAATATAATATTTTAATTGTGAAAAAAAGATAAATATTCAATTGTATTGTTTATCCTTTCTTTGTCCTGTACTACTTATTTTCTGTTATTTCCAAATAATGTCTGAGATATCTTTAGGATTATTGCAGGTTGTCAATATTTGTTTTGTATTAGTTGATGGGTGCTTCTTGTTTGTACTTACCATTTTCTTTGATTCTGCCAACTATTGTCATATATATGAAGCAAGTAATTTTTTCTTCTTTGTAGGAGCTTCTCGGTCGATCCACTGATTTCTTGTGTACACGCCCAGATGGTAAGGGCATATTAGTTTAAAATATTATGTGCAAAATAAAATCTTTGTCGTGAAGCCGAAAACTGCTTAGATATATCAAAGTGGTAGCATGTGAAGATTGTTGATTTGCAGTTCCAGGTAATATTTTTCAGGATTATCCGTTACCAAACCGAACTTAATTTTACTCCAACCCTTTACATTTCAATTCCCTCTCGTTCAACGAACAACGGATTTAAAGACTTCTTACTGTGGAACGTCTCCGAAAGAATTCTTCGTGGAAACCGTATGTACTTAACATATTTGATTGTTTTCTTTTAGTTTTCTTTTATTTATTATTTATGTGGATTTAAAGACTGGTTCAGGTATCTTTATATACTTCCCACCACTTTTGGGAATCCGTTATGGTTTACCGATGATGAGATGCTGGAATTGAGAGAAACAATCTTGTATAGAGCAACTGAATTACGGGTAAATATAAGCATATAGTTTAACGTTTCTCTTAAAGATGAAATGCATGTAATTTGACTACCCATGATGATGAAAGTTAATGTAATGGTTTTATAGAATTGAATTTTTTTGGTTGTTAATTTTATTTTTAGACTTGCAGGCAGTGGCAACATGGGATGTTCCTGTCCCAAAGGTAAGCATTAATGCATTATTATTTGTAATCAATAAGCTTAATTCTCAGTATTATTGGAAACGTTCTTTAATAAAATGTAAGTTCCACTGTCAATATGCCTTTTGTTCCTAATATTTTTTGTGTTGTTAATTAGTTCCCTTTGTTTGGGGCTCTGCTGCTATGCTTTTAACTGATCTATGAATTTCTTGTTTTTGCCTTTATGATATCCTTTTTGTATTCTATTTTTCATGCATATAGCATCGCAAGCCTATTTCAAAGTTAAATTACTATTAATAGTCTATTCCCAAGGACATTTAACTTATATGTGACTTCTTTGGTTACCAACTGATCGGTATGTAATTTAGTAATCTAATTTCCTAAATCAGTATGATTGAGTAATTCATGTTTCCATACTTTATGCATTGTTGTCCGTCTTTCCCACCTTATAGGGATTGTAATTGGAGTTCTATGTGCCAAGGTGGGTATTTGAGTTGAACTATATTTCCCGTTTAGAAGTTGTGAATTAAGCATGTTGATAAACATAATTGAATTATTTTGATTCTTAGTTTTGACACAATTGGACTGCTTAGCGTTGTACTATTCTTGTTCCTTATCACTTCATTTTCAATTTTCTTTTGTAGATATACAATGAGCAAATAACAGATTTATTGGATCCAAATCAAAGAAACCTGCAGGTAGAATGGATTTTGTGCTATAATTTTGGGAAGGGTTCGGGAACAACTGGTGCATCTGATGTTCCTACTAGTTCAGTTGAAGCCAATGCTCATTCGTAGCCTGTTTCAAGAGTTCTCGACTCTGAAGAAGCAACTTCAAAATTGCAGAAGAAGGTAAAGGAGTTACATCTAAGATCTTATAATATGTTAGTATCTTCTTGTGATAATCTGAGAACATTCTTGGTTTTTTGTTTTCAAATAGCCATAGGTGATGGATATTATGTTTGTAACTTAATGTGAATATATTGTATGAAAATGGATTGCTTATATATAATATGATACATATATTTAGTATTATGATGCATTAAATGTGATTTAGTTTGATTATTTGTCAATCTACAATATATATATATATAACAATAATTTATGAAATACAATCACGACACACGAATGTGTGTCATCTTTTTTAATGGCGTGTGCTTCAATGACACGCAACGTAAGTCATACATGCGTGTCATAAATTTATGACACACAAATGTGTTTCATCTTAATTTATGACGGGGGCTTCAATGACGCTCAATGAACGTCATAATTGCGCGTCATAAATGTGTGTCATAAATGCGCGTCATAAATTTATGACGCACAATTGCGCGTCATCTTAAATTCATGTCGATGGCTTCAACGACAGGAAAATATGTGTCATCCACACCCATAGATGATGCGCAATGCGCGTCATTAAAGGGGTTTTTTCTACTAGTGACTTATCAGAGCTAATACAATTCAAATCTTTTATTTACATGCCAACGATTATCCTTATAACAAACTACATACTGTTCATATATTTTTTTGATCTGATCTTTGGAAAGAAGAAGCTGATCTGACTTGCCTATCATTTCTTTTCTCCTCCTCTTGCTTCTCGAAACCTACGTGTAAAATACTCATACGCTAAGTCGAAGACTTAGTGAGGCATATCAACATATAATGGAAACTTAACTACCTAAGAATTTATAAACATTTCATACAATCTTATCATACAAAACCATATAGCATTTCATATAACAAATACATATATATACATATATCTCATCATTATCATTCTCAACCTTCTTATAGTTATCAATATTATTCTTATGAATTCCTCTTATCATTTAATATTGTACTTACACTTACCCACATCATATCATATGTTTCACAGAGAAAACACAAAACAACACATACACTTTATTTATTTTATATCTTTTAATTACCCATGAAACACTTGTGAGAACTAAAGATATGTGAGTACATAGAGGTTGTGCACATTTGCTATCACCACAGCTCGTATAAGGTCCCACTAGGGGCATATAAAGTTATCCCGGAGGACCACGTAGAAATGTCCCGAATGACCACATATATCACATATATGTCCCAAAAGACCACTTATATGTCCCGAATGACCACATAGAACCTTCGAATCTTAGTATGCCAACTATACTCATAGCTCTCATATCACATATACATGGGAATTATCATTTATCACAATTCTTATAACTCATATCACAAAGGCATATGATCTCATAGCTTCTTATCACATAGCTCATGGATCATTTTTAGATAGTCTCAGTGTATATAATAATTTTTTCTTGTTATCACATATGAAGATAGTCAATCAAATCATCGTATATACATGTACTCATAGAGTTCATAATATTTCTCTTGTAATCACTTATACCGTATCATATAGCTTATACTTTGTTCTCTTATGTTCACATATATTATATAATTCTTTATCACATAGCTTATATCATATGTTCATATAATTCCTTATGTCCATATCATATAACTTATATCATATTCTCATGTAATCATAGAGATCATTTATACTAGACCATATAGTTTCACCCTAACATGGATTTACACATATCATATAACATACACAATAACATGTAACACATATATTCATAGCAAAACACATACTTATATTCATAAATTCATGTATTCTAATATAGGAAATAGACACGTCGAAAGTCTTATTTCCATAAAATGTCATATACCAACTAGTATGCACTCACATTTGCCTCACTAGTCCAAGCAATATACTTATCTCTTTCTTGATCGATCGTATCTCATTGACTCATCCGATACTTGCTTTCTTTATATATCTACATAATTCATATAGTCAATATGAATATCAGAATTCGAATCACTTATACCAATTCATATAACCTATGGATAATAGAACCACTTAATTTAGCATTTCAAGCTTAATAGTATCGGTACTCTTACTATAGTATCGATACTACCCTCTTATGGTATCGATAACCCCTAGGTACTAATACCATTTTGACATTCTGCTTTTAGAACACGATAATGGTATCGATATTATACTCTAAGTATCGATACCCCTTTAACCAATACCGTTACCACCCTTTAGGTAACAATACTTCTTAAAGAGTTCATCCAATTTTTCCTTATGGTATTGATATTTTTTCTTCAGTATCGATACCCCAAGCTCATATTCTACTCATTTACTTTGGAAGTATCGGTACTGGATGAACAGTACCCCTACCCAGAACTTATTCATTTTACCCCCAAAAATCAACCATACTCAGTTAAATTCCTTTTTTACTCTTCTTTCATGACTTTAAACTTAACCACACTTATTCAAATCAATTTATGTCACTTTAACACATCCTAATATCCCATATCTAACTATTACACTTGAATTCAATAATCATGACAATTAATCAACATGTTCCAAATTCAGTTCTAACACTTTGAATTTCTTATTTCAGCACCTGACAAGTCAAATTTAACTTCAAAACTTATTTACTAACTCTTTCTCAATAATTACCTTAAAAACTATTTACCTTCAATCTTATATAACTTATTCATCTTTGATTTTTAAGTCATCTTAAGCTTCCTTTAAGCTTATGTATCACCCAAAGACCAAAACTCAACTTAAAAATTAAGAAATAACCAGCTTACCAAGAACTCACCTTTAAAATGGAGCTCACGGGAAGAGAAGAAGATAACCAGATTACATACTTCTCTTTTCTTTTATCCCATTTCCACGTTTTTAATATCCTTTATAAAGAGAAGATAAAAATCATTCCTTGGAAAAGACCAATTTACCCTTACTTCATTCAATATTTACTAAACATTACTTCACAAAATATTCTCAATTAAGTCCCTAAACTTTTTAATTTTTTGAAATTGAGCACAAAGTTTTCAAAACTTACATTTTAGTCACTAGCCTGGTTCTTTGGGATGTTACAATCATGCAACGCTTGAATGTTGCTGGAGCATTGCACAGGTCGAACGACATCCTTTAAAAGACAAAGGTCCCATATGGACAAGTAAAGGTAGCTTCTCTTGGTTCTCAGGAGCTATGACTATTTGATTATAATCAATATACTCATCAAGAAAACAGTAAAAGGCTTTACCAACAAGTCGGTCCAACATCTGGTCAATAAATGGTAGCAGGAAGTGATCCTTTCTTATGGCTTTGTTTACCTATTGGTAGTTCATACAGATTCTCTAGCTAGTAGTTATGCGTGTAGACACAAGCTCATTCTTCTCATTAGAGACTACGATTATGATGCCCTTATTTGGAACACCTTGCACGGGGCTCACCCAATTGTTGTCAAAAATGGGATATATGATCTCAGTATCCAACCACTTGATGATTTCTTTTCGCACAACTTCCTTCATGATCATATTCAACCTTCGTTGTTGCTCAATATAACTGTTGTTGGGATCTTCCAGCAATATTTTATGCATGTAGAATATTGGACTAATGCCATTAATATCAACAAGCTCCATGCAATTGCCCACTTAAAGAACATCAATCAGTATGTCTTCCTAGGATATTGTGAACTTTGTTGCATTAATGACTGGCAAAGTCTCATCTTCTCCAAGGAATGCATATTTTAAATGCTCAGGCAAATGTTTTAGCTTAAGAGCAGGAGGTTCTTCAATAGGCAGTTTCAGTGCTTGAATAGGTCGGTTCGAAAGCTTTAAAGACTCAAATGTTGCATTAAATTCCTTTCAACTACCTCATTTTCTTCTAACTTTGTGATTTTTGCAACATTGGATATAGCAACTTCCATGCTATAGCTTTCCTCTAAATGCTCTTGCACACAAACATCAATAATATCGACGGAATTGCATTTTGCATTATCATCAAAATAAGAAACATTTATCAAGACATTGTGTTGAGTTAATCGATCGATGAATATATCCAAGAGAAGGTGAATTGGCAATTAAAAATTCGGTGGAAGCTTTTGCAGAAAATTGAAAAATATTTGCACAATGATTTAGAGTGGTTCGACTTTCTCAACCAAAGTCTACATCCACTACCTTAGCTATCCACACTAAGGATTTTCCACAAATTCACTAATTTGTCTTTCTTTTGAGGACAAAGAGTAACCTTACAAATCCCTCAAGAATTATACCCCAAATTCTTGAGAACACTCTCTCCCAAAGAGAACAATACAAATTTTGCAAACTTACAAGAAAATCCTCGCAATGAAAGATGTTTGCACAATTCTAGAACAAAGAAAAAACACTCAAGAATAATACAATTGAGTACAATAAGTATTCTTGAAAGAAAAATGAATATTGAATGAAATAGGCTTGAAAATGCTCAAACTTGAGATTTGATGCTTTCTCTTTGATTCTCTCTTGATTCTTATTTCTTATTATTGATCAATGGCTTCTAAGCTTATTTAAATACTCCTTCAATTGATTCTGAATGTTGGGGATCATTAGTGGAGTCAATAGAGTCATTATTGTGTGAAAATAATTAATAAAACAGCTTGGAGCATGGGGGAATCGGTACCCCCTCATAGGGGATCAGTTCCTGTAGTGTAAAATTCAAATATTTTAACCGTTATGAGATGGGGGAATCGGTACCTCCTGGGGGGGATCGATACCCTCCGAGTAATATGTTATTTCTCATAGCCAAAACCTTTCAGGGGGTATCGGTTCCCTTATTTGGGGGGAATCGATACCCTTTGAGTAAACTGTAATTTTTGGCTTGAATAGAGCTCGAAATACTGTAAAATTGTTTCAAAAATATTTTAAGATTGAAACTTAATTTTTGTACTTGAGTAAGAATTAAAATTGACATTTTACAA